CATGGCGGCACTCTGCACTGTCAAAGCCTTGGGGAAAGGAACACCTCTCTCTGGTGCTCACTGGTTAGGGCACGCAGACGGCACAGCAGGAGAGACCTTTTCGCAGGTCTTCCCCAGGCTCTTGGTATATTAAAATTTAGAACTCACCCAATCCCAACTCAGTACCTGCTGAGCTACAGCATCGTAGTCTGCACTGTACGTGCAAACACGTGGCATATCTATTCCTGATTCCAAGAGAGGTGATCGGCCTTTAAAACTCTGTCTTGGGCCTTATCTTGGTCTCTGAGCTTAGCTGCCCCAGAGAGTATATTCTGAATGAGCCAGCGCGATTTGACTTACTTCAGGACTTGAGCAACTGTATTTGGTCCAAACCATTCTCCAATTGATTTCCCCTCTCCAACACCCATCTGCGCTGTTTTCATCAGGGAAAACACACACACAGAGAAAAAAAAGACCACAGAGAGTCTGGTCACAATATACGTTAAATAGCACGACCTACTAATATTTTGACATACATTCCAGAGCAAGCGCAAACTGTATGTAGCAACAACAGTTATTTTCTCAGTTTATGCTCTTTTCAAATCTTACTGACTGCTAGTTTCTTTACAAAAAGTTTCTGAACTGTAATGAGAATTACAAATATTAGGGCCCTTTATTACAAATTACAGCAATAAGCTTCCTGACTCTATTTCCATACTATCAACTCTGGTACCCAAAGCTTACATACTTTACCAAGAGCTAGATTCTAGTATACAGATTTATTTAGGTCTCAGGGAATAACATTTCTAAATTTTTATACTTTGTACCTGTTGGCATGCATTTTTATTTATATATAAATATATACATCATGCATTTTTATTTATATATAAATATATACATCATGCATTTTTATTTATATATAAATATATACATCATGCATTTTTATTTATATATAAATATATACATCATGCATTTTTATTTATATATAAATATATACATATACATTGTCTTCATAATCACCTTTTTAGAATTTTGAATTAACATATTTCAAATTAGAAAGTTTCAACACAGTAGGAATTTCAGTGAGAAAAAAAAGGTTGGCGTGTGTTCTTACCCATTTGGTGGATGGAATAACAGCAATCTTTCCTATCTAGAAAGCACCGTAAGATTCTGTGATATTCTTCTGGTTGTTTTTTGTGTTTTTCCCATTGCCAATCTTACAGGAAAAAAAGTTATACAGATAAAAAAGAATAATGTTTCCATCATCCTGATCAAATTTCTAGATAGTAGAAAGCCATACAATGAGATGTTAAAAGACTAATGTACAATTCATCTCTCATATTTACATTTTATTTAGAGTTCTTAGAAGTCACAGCTTGTCATTTATTATCAAGCTGTCCTTTATCATCACAGGCTAGATTGTGAAAACTGGGAAAACAAAATAAAAATGTCAACTGCAAATACATTCTGAGCGATCACTGCTAAGAACTGATAGCTACTGCTGTATGTGAGCTTCCAAGTTTACAACTACACGCTCTGCTTAGATTTTGTTAGATTTGTAAGCATACATCAGATAATGATATAAGACCCATAAAGCAAAGTCCAAACACAGCGCTGGCCCTCTCCCACAGCAAAATCCAACACACAGCTTTGCCACGCACGCTCTTGCTTCTGTCGTAAGGTAGTTGCCTCCCATTTACTGACAGAGAAGAGCATTCGTAGGGCTGACACTATGAAGTAACTACATACTAGGAGTTCATCTTCTAGTTTTCCTCAGGTAATTGTTTGCCTACTCCTTCAGTTAAATCTTTGCACCTCCATTCTGTGGATTCAGTTATTCAAGTGGCTAAATCCTTTGGTGGATGCAGTTATTAAATAAATCCACAAAGCACGCTGCCGCCGAAACCACAGCACAATAGTGTAAGGATTACAGACCTAACCGGAATAATCTAATCGATACAGCAGCTACACACAGCCCAGAGCTATGATACTGACCTGTGATCCTGGGACGTGAGGTGTTGATACAGGCTTAAGAGCTTGCACTAACGGGTTCTGCTGTGGGGTTTGGACCTCAGGCTGGTGGCGGGTGAGTGGTCTGTGAGGTACTTTGTATGCTGTCTATCACTATGTCACTACTCACACAGTCACTGTGTGCAAACATGTGGTGGCTATGTAAGCAATGAAGAGAAGGGTAAGAACGCAGACCCACGGTGGCAGGTTTTCCCTCAGCCTCAACTTGGGTATTCCTCAAAAAGATTTACGAAATAACGACAACGGGATTCCCTATTTGTCCTCCCTCTATTTCTATTTCTCTGCTTAAGGCTGGCATGATTTCACTCTGTCAGACAAGAATAACTGGCTAGTAACTTCTATCAGGGCATCAAAGAAAGTTTCATTAATAAATTTAGGGTTTGTGCTTTTATGGAAAACTACAACAAAATTTAAACCGTCTCCAAACAACACAGAAGTCCACTCAGCAACAGGACTCACCTCTTCCTAAATGTCTGCAGATCAGTGCTTGTGCCAGCATCATCTGCCCACACCGCAGCATACATCCCCAGCCAGCGTCAGACGAAGGACCAGTGCCTCCTAGTAAATAAATTAATTACAATCAATATGGGCTTTAAACTCAGCACAGCGCCAGAGAGAAAATTTCAGAGTTAAAATCTCTAACAACTGCCCTATGGATAAAAGGCACCGAGCAAGACCTTGTCTTTCCATCTTGCTGGTGTAACTTTACTGCTTGCTCTACGAACATGAAGACCTGATTATAGCCAGGTACAAGTAAACGCAGTTTTTAATAGCTTTAATATTTTGTTTGCATAAACAGTTAAAATGATGCTCAAAATGTTCTAATACTGTAAAAACCATTTTTCAGTCCATGATAACATCACTAATCCTGCTATCTACTGTGTAACAAGGCAGCTGGTCTGCTGCATACTCACCAATAGGCGAAAACTTTCTTCTATACGTAAACCAGAGACGAGCACTTATATCCAACAATAACTTAGATTTGTCTGGAATATATTTAAGAGGAAAGAAATTATTAAAACAAACTTTTAAAACTGAAAAATTCTAATATTCCCTGTACAGTCAATATATAGAGTGCATGGAAGACTGCTGTTAGCTTTTACATGTAAGACCCTTAAACATTTTTTAGCTGTTTAAACACAGAGAGCTTTTGTAGACTGCTAATTAAAGTTAACTTATTAAGGATGAAATAATTACTAGCCAATGAAGTTTTACAAGGTGTTTGGAATGACGATGCCCAACTTGAATGAAACAACTACGGTGAACTATGTCCTCAGGAAAGAAGTGGTAAAGCAAGTTAAGAAAGGTGCAGAATTCCTACACGCAAACCAACATGGAATTATGCATTACCTCCAAACCCAATACAAAGTCATTTTAAGAAAAGGTTAACCATATTAAATTTAATTAAATCTCTCCCATCTTTTTTTTTTTTTTAAATACATGTGCTTACAGAATTCTCCCAAAGGCTCTGAAGAATTCTTAAGAATCTTATTTGCTGCACTTTCTCTGAGCCACAGCTCAGACAGACTGGCCTTTTCAAGGGATCCTTCAGCCCATCAAGGCTGCCTGTGGTACCTCGGCTGTCCTGAACACCGTGCCTGCATTGATGGCCGCTGCCTTTGACGTGTAACACAGGAGGACGCCCTGGGCTTCTCCTCAAGGAGCAAAACTCATTTCTGAAATCTTGTTTTTATATGCTATATAAATATATCACTCTGCTATGACTTTTAGGTCATATACTTATTTTCATCAAAATACAGTACCTGCCCTAGATTAATTTTATTACTATTATACCATTATTATTATTCTTTTGAAATACCATTTCAGTTGCAAACACCAGGCTGCAGACAGCATCCCTCAAGCGAAAATAACATTAGTAATACTCAACATTCCCCAAAAGGTATTTATTTATCTGTTTCTGAGGCATTTGATGTTGAGAAGTGACCAGCGTCATACCTGACTGACCTTTGCTACAAGTACGATCTCTTTGCATGAATTACGGTAAAAAGTACATTGGTAAACTTCTGGCTTCATTTTAGGATGAATACCACTGCTTACAGTTGGTTTCTTGTGGATGGAGAAAAATGAACTTCACTCATGAGACATTTAGAGAACGTAAGGAAAGCAGGAGCTGCCGCTGCATGTGAATCTATGAATGCTCTACAGATTTTACAGATGAATTTTCATTCTAAAGATACCTGTGCTTAAGTGGTGTTGCCTTCCTAGAATCCACACTGGCTCATCGGTTTCTGGAAATTCTTCTAAGTAGTCTGACAAAATAGTGATCTGGTTTTCATACCTAGATAAAACTGAACAGCAATACGCAAAAATCAAACTCCATTTTGTCCCTTTGTTCTTTTACGCACAACTTTGAGCTCTCAGACTGAAGCAGTTGCAGCTAGTCTTTGCGGTCTTTGGGTCTTCTGAACGGTGCTGCCAGCTGCGTTTATTCTTTTCCTTTAACAAGCTGGTCTGACACTGAAGCATCCAATGTCTTGCCTGGTTTTTATTTTGATCCTCAGCGAGTGCTGAGAGAATAACATGGCTGACACCTCGATTATAAGCAGCCTGACTGAAGCCAGTAGCCGAAGCGCAGGGTGACTGCAGTCAGAGTAACATTTGATTCAAGGAAATGAGGAAAGGGAAAAACAATTTAGGCATCACAGCGTATGTGCCCATGCTCGATCTTAAATGCACAAATACTGCCAGTCAAGAGTGATTATGTCCTCGTGCTTAATGGGAAGCACGTGAAAAGCGTTAGCAAGACTGCTTTTACTTTCCTAACTGGAGATCTGAAACACTTCAAAATAAAAGATGTATTAATGTTATTATTCAACGCTAGACCTATTTAATAGGTTACAATAACAATAGGTTTGTTACAATAACAAATGATAATTAATACTACTTAAAGAAGACAGTTCAATCAATTTTTAGATAATTAATTAAAGCAGGGTTTGTTGGAAGAGGAGAACAGGCCTTCAAGTGTAAAAATGAATGTAAAATCGTTTCTTTTACACACGAATCTTAAGGAATATGCTGCTAAAAACTCAGAAGCTGAAAGTGAAAGCAAACACAATTATATTGTACTCTTCAAGTGCACATATAGTCTTCAAGTGCACATACATACAGTGTAAAGAACGAATAATCACCAAGTAAATATATATAAAAAAAAAAAAAA